CCTTACAATTTTGATGGCGTTTTTTATATTAAAAAAAGAACTCTACTTTTTAACTAATTCATGTTGAATTCTTTATTTTACTTTTAAACATGAATGTGATGGTGTGTTTTAATGTATGTGGTTGTGGTTGGCCAAAAAAAAATGTTTGTGGGCTTTTGTTCATAAATGTAATAAGTTATTTTAATATAGTGTATATAACAATTTGAGATATATATTCATATAAAAAAAATCCCATATATTGCATTTGATGAGAATGTTTTCTCACAGTTTTTATGTTCTAAAAACCATACATTTAAAGTACTGTTTGATTGTTATTTTAAACCTATTATATATATATATATATATATATCCGAGAAATTCCAAAGAATACTTCAAGAAATTAATGTATAGGAATTTGTGCTATTATTTAGTTCTTATTTTACTTGCTATATCATATACAAGTTACTTGACATTTGACACTGGTTGAATTAAATTACATCACATGCAGAGTATGGATTTGCTGTAATTGTTTCAACAAAAGTTGATGTGTATAGCTATAGAATAATACTAATGGAAGTGTTCACAAGGAAAAAGCTAATAGAAGGTATGTTTGTTGATGGATTAAGCTTAAAGATTTGGATAAGCGAATCAATGTCACATGCATTGATTCAAGTCATGGATTCCAATTTATTAAAAGGAGATGAACAATATGTTGGTAATATTTTGACAACTATATCCACTATTTTCAAATTGGCCTTGGCTTGTTGCTTTAGTTTTCCAACAGAACGTTGCAATATGTTAGATGTTGCATCATTAAACAAGATCAAGGACTTGTTTATGCAAAGAAGTCAAGTTAAAAAATTAATATTAAATATATTTTGCAATTGATGTTGTTGTCTATCCTTCATTACTCAACTATTCCTAAAGAAAATGTTGGATGTACGTAATACCTTGTGAGAAGGCGTGATGATGTGTTCTTCTAAACATTAAATGCAAACTATGAGTTCTGATAAAGCGTAATACCTTTTGATTAAAGACATATAGGGTTCCATATATTTAAGTTTTTAAAGATGTTATCCAACAAAAAAAAAACAATTATGTTAGCTTTACATTTTCAAAAATGTCCATCCATGGGCGGCTAGAAAAGTTTAATTTAGTGACGAAATTAAACGAGAGATTATTCTTTCCTCGCTAAAAGTCTGAATTAGTTGACAAAAAATATATAATTTTTTTCTATTTCTAAGTTGCTTTTCAATTAGACAATATAATATATTAAATAATAAAAATATAAGAAAAAAGTTAAATGACAATACAGTCATTTTAATGGAATCACTATACCCTAAAAAAGTAGTTATCGGCGTTGCGATTATATTCTTCTTTCCAATTATGCTAGGGAGAATTTGTAAGAAATTTTTATATAGACTCAATGCACAACATCATTTATATGTTTTCCAGTAAAAATATGTCATGTCAGATGGTTGTAAATATAAATTGATTTTGCAATTGATAATGGTAGAGAGAAGAAATAAAGATATTAAAGAAATACTCTATTACAAAAATAAAATTATTAAAAATAAATCCATAATATTTTATTGGATTGACATAGTTTAATTTTATTAGGTAGAGCATGGATGATATGGTGCGCCTTGTCCATGCGAGCATTTTTTGAGGGTTTGCTTTGACTGTATAGTTTGTAGAAAAATAACAGTTACATCTTAAAAACTTAATTTAATGACAATTAAAAAAATGAGTTAAAAATATTTTAGTAAAGGATCACAATAGATAAATAATTTAAAATCAGAACCACTGAACTCTGAAATCACATTGCATGACCAAGGGATTAAATTGAAGGGGAAAGTTATATCTTTAGCCTCATATATATTTAAGGTACTTTTGTCCAATCACATTAAGATATGTGGATAATTTAATTTATATATATTATATATATATATTCTATAATAAACTCTTGTTATTGATATTATTACAACATTAACATCCATTTGTTTTAATTTGATTAGACCCAAATCTTGTCCTTGAGAAATGAAAAAAAAACCCTCCATTAAAATTTAAAAGTACCCCCAACTATTGTCATTGCCACCACTAGAGAGCTCTACAAGTTGGAGCACCGCTAGCTAAAGATCTAGCCATTGGCCGGCAAAATAATTACTTAAAAGTGACTAGGGGATTTGAACCACTAAGCCATTGGTTCTATTAATTATGTGCTGCAAAATGTTATATATAAAATGAACCAAGTTCACTAACATCATGATAACTTATTATAACCATAACTTGTAATTTTAGTACTGTGTAGTTTATTAATTCATTAAAGGAACTTGTTAACAATGTCATTTAAATATCCAATTGTTATATGCTATGAAAGTGCACAGGTAATGATAAATAATGCAATGTGAATAGAGTATTATTCCTATTATTCTCTAATAGACTTGCATTGTCTTAAAAGTATGATCAAGCAAAAGATATTGCAAATTCAACAAAATTTAGCAAACCACAATTAGTTGGACAAGATTGATTTCTTCAATCATATTAAAACTAGAAAATAAAGAAAGCAAATGATTCTTAGACTGATCAAGAATGAAATGGAACTTTGGATTATTTATTTCACTTGCATTTAAGGCATAACACTGAAATTACATCCTCTTATAAATGTACTGAATAAAAATAAGTGTTAACCTTGGGTTTTAAAAGTACTTGAATAAACTCTCTCAATGAGCAAGATCAAGTTTTTAATTTCCTTAATTGCTTAATTAATCTTTTGTTACAATTAAGAAATCCAATTTTTAAGTTCCAGCCATAATCTGGCTATACAAGGTTATAAAAAATACATCTATCTTACTAATAAAACCATCTTTTATCATGCAAACTTCAAGTTCTTGCATTATTTTATCTAAGTTCTACACTTAAGCTAGCCTTCTCAACCATCACTCAAATGAACAATGTCTAAATTATGGCTCTTCACTTAAAAGTGTTAAAAGAAGAGTAAAATAAACAATTATATATAATCAATCATAAAAATGATAGGAGAAAGTTAGTAATAATCAATCCATAAAAGCATTCAAAATAATTATAGAATGAAAGTGTTTAGCTATTAATAAACATCCAAAAGCTACAAAATATACAAAATATTCAAACTCATATCATATTACAAGTACAAGAGAGGAAAGGGAAGAATAAGAGGCGCAGAAGAAATAGAAACTTCAAGTGTCTTCGAAGCTTGATCTCTTGAGCTCAACTCTTTCAAAGCTAAAACCCTAACAAAACCAAAAACCAAGCTCCTCAAGTGTCTCAAGGTCAAATTA